CAGTTTGTGGTATATACATGTACACTAGTAAAGGTATAGTATAGCATGTATATGTTTGTAGCAAGCGATGCTGCGACTTCAGCCAGAGTAAGAGCAGATTATAGTTCGTTGTCCTCTTGTGCATTAGCCAATCGACAACGTATGTTTGTTTAGCTAGAGAAAGAAAGACGGGCATGTAATACCCTTGTCTGTCTATTGTATATTCACTCGCTCAGCTTCCTAGACACCGAATACTATCTATTCCACTGAAGACGAACAAGCGAACAAGTATTTACTCACGAATGGGAAAGAACTCGACGTATTGCTACACAAAGGAAAAACACCAAGATCCACATACGCGCACACGTATACACGATTGAATACTCGAACAAAGAGTCATTTGCGCGGACGTTTCTACCGCCCAACTGTCACCGCCTTTGATGCGTTTTGAGCCCAAGCTGTCGCTACGATTGTCCTGTCGAAGGACCAACGAATGCCATAGGCCGACAAACGTTAAGAGCTGACGGCTTTCCCGGCGTCAAGATGAGGCCGGACGTAAATTTCTGCCAATAATATTGTCAGACTCCTTTAGCCTCTTGTTTAAAAGAGGCGACCACCGGAGTGTAAGCAAATTAACAAAGCACAATGAGAAACAGCGATGAAGGGGGTTGTGGTAGGCCTTTTAGGAAGGGAGTCAATTTGAAGCGCAGCGTGGTACTGCCGACAGGATGTGGTGAAGATGAACTTAGTCCCTCCAATCATTCAAATCTTTGTTAGCTTAGGTCTCTCTTTCAAAACGTTTGTCTCCCACAGGCATCTACTTGTCCCCGTAACGCAGTACGCCGGGTTCCTTCTGTTCTGCGCAAGGTCATAGTAGAACAGGTAAAGTCGAGAGTTTCGAAGAAAACGAAGCCTGTCTAAAAATAGGACGGTTGCGTTTTGGAAAACGAAAACGTCGTACGAAAAAAAGTAATGCTTCCGCCAGAAATCGCCGAGTCGTGTGTTTGAATGCGTGGCATAAATACGAGAAAAAATAATTTCAGCTGAGGCAAACGGTTCTTAACCGAAGCATAGCCATTAAATACGATAGCCTAATGGTCAAACACTGACATAAACCGGACCATTTGCAGTGATTAATGTTAATTAAGTGGATGAGATAACAAAAAAAAAATACTGTTCTAGATACAGTCTTTCGGTAATACAGGTAACGTAAAGTCGGCAAAAACAAAACCATCTAGGTACACACATAGATTTGGTGTGCACATATCTTTTTGCCTCAAACTTTTTGCAAGTTTATACAGGTTGCCGACATTGAGGTCAGCCAGCGAAACTGAACCGGCGTCAAGTTAGCAATATCAATTTCCGTTAATCTTTCGTTACTTTTAACGTTGCTTGTAAACAGACTCCTAATAAGCGGTGAAGTGTTTCACGTATAATTTCATCGCACCACCGATAAAAAGAATGAGAATTTTTGCGGACCATATAAGTACACACAACTTGTCCTATGTCGCTAAAGCTATGATGCTATGTTTTCAGAAAAAGTAGGCGATGATCTAAAAAATCTACAGAACGTACAAATGGTCTCTTCATTCCAAACAAAGAACAATAGATATCGATTGCATTCCAGCCACTTTTCAACTAATCAGATTGGCAATGGCCGAGCTGAGTAATGGAAGAGATTTGCCCGTACGAATATCATAATAACGATAGGATAGTTCAGCGAAGATCATGATGTCTTCTATTGGAAACTGCATTATCTCTTGCTAACAACGCTGCTCTCGTCAAGGTGCGTGTGCCTGTCTCTGGTTCGCAGCGTCCTGAAATTGGCCGGATGAGAGCAAGCGACCGTCTAGCAAATGATTATTAACAAATGGCCAACCAAACGACTTAGTGCGCTCAGAACCTCTGATCGCCTGTATTCATAATCAATTTATACATTAGTAGATATGGATACCTCGTAGCGATATGGGCGAAATCGATACACGATATAGATTTCATCTAATTTCATCCAGAAGCGGGTACATGCCACCAGCTATATGGTCTAGGTTTAGCGGTTTACGAACGGATGTCCACTTGTTTTCTTTGCACGTTATAGAAATTATTGTTATGCATAAAATAAAGGGAATATACTAATTTAAATAAGTCTTAAGTAGACGATTGATTTTACGGAATTAAACGTCATATGCATGCACTTACTAAAATGGACCAATTATTACATGTTGCTATTATCGTGCATGTACGTGCACTGTATATAACGAGAAATTCGTTCTCCCCAATTCATTCTACCGCTGTTTCTTGTCTACTGGCTATCTGCTGTTTGGTGCTATTTTATAATTTAATAGAATACTATTTAATGTGCTATGTTATTGTGTTGTGCTCAATAAACAGCCAAGAGGAGTTGAGTCATTGTTATTACTGCTGTTATTGTTTCGAGCGCTTCCTGCATTTAGAGCTGACTTGACGACTGTGTCTGTTTATCTGACTGACTTGCCCTCGCTGCGGTGCCTATAGCCGAAGGCGGCGTCTAAAGAAGACGTTCGAAATGCAGGCTAAGGCGTTGGCCGATCAACGGACTGACCCGTCGGAATTTCGTTGCTCTTTTTTCCTCCTTCCTTCGTCGTCATTCCTCACCCCAGTCATAGCTTTGATTCGCCAAACCGCTCTAGCCTACGGCAATTCCTATGGCTTCCATTAGACTGACGTACTGATGTCGCATAAATTCACTGACATTACGGGCGGCTGTTGTAATACTGTCGAATTATTGCAGAATAACAAAAAGAAGAATAATCGTTAATACAATATAATCGTACACGACTGCGCTTATTGAGCTGTGGCACAAACCGCCCCGAGTCGACGGTCAAAGATACTTTTGCCAATGCTAAAACTTCGGAGTCGAATTTTCTGCTGCTGCTGCGGCGGCTGGAGCAGGAGAGAAAGCGAAATATGGGATGATGCGTTTTTGCGCGGGTAACGCCCACGCAGCTACGGGTCCAACATCGACGGAAAATACAGATGTAGGCCCAAACGCTGACCGCCTCACAAAGCACTGCCAGCAACGATTGAAGTAGGCTTACTCAGTTTTGCTGTAAGGTAGGCTCAGGTGCAGAGCGCAGTAGGGAAACGACACCGTAAGAAGATGTAGAGGCTGCAGTTAAAACAAAGCGAACTTTGGTGATCAAATCTAACGCGTTAGAATGAGGCCCGTCGTGGCCTGCGGCAACAACAACAACCATTTTTGCCGAGGAATTCTGTGCTCATGCGTATCACTGATTCCGTACCACCGACCCGTGTAGCTTCAGTTTCGGTTATTGTCTAGCAGAAAATAATAACGGCAGTGCAATTAACTAACTAGCTTTAGTGTGCTAAATAATTTTTTCGGCAGCCGACAGCATTTACTTTAGATGGAGGGTCTGTACTTGACTACTTCGTCAAATGACGACCAGCGATAAACTAACTGAAGCTACATAAATTTCACTTAAATAGGTGTCACATGCATAAAATGGTCACTCTATTTTACAAACCCAACACAAACGTATGTGTCGTGTATCTCGTAGCCTGTGAGAGGTTTACGTTTAAATAACAATGCGTTATCAAGCGCTTTTGGTTTGCAAACGTCAAAAGAATATGCCCTGTAAGCGTGAGCTGGCTTCTGGAACGTGTAGCATCAGTCTATCGATTTTACACGCGATAGATTCCTGTAGTGGGCAGAATTAATTTTCGTTAAGAAACTTCGGGGGGCAAGTCATATGGTTAAATGCACACGCTTCACATCGACAAATCATGATGACCTTCTAATGCTAGCGTAATAATAATCGAAATAATACTGAGGTAGGTATGAGGAATAAACGGATTAGCGAACCGGAACATCAAATCATTTGTTTATTCTTGAATTTCTTTTATTAAGGGTTTCACGCTCGAAGAATCAACCTAATTAAATACTGATGGTTTTACTAACGGTTCATGGCCGAGGCAGTGACTGCAATTTTTACAAATTGTTCCCAAATCCTTTTAAGGATCTAACAACAAGTCGGGCATATAACCAATTGATACTGGAGCGTTTTCTCTCAAGCAATGCAATATAGGGTGATGCACTTCTTTCGGATTGAACTGGACGTGAAGCCTGACGATGCTTTATCAAAAAAATAGAGGGGATAACTTGTCAGAGAACTTTAAGATAGATTGCACCAGTCAGCAATGCGAACCTTGTTGCTTCTTCTCTGTGTGAAAATACTAGGTTCCAAGCATCTCGGCTGTTCGAGACACCACAGGTCATCTTTGAGAGAGCTTTCTCTCGTCAACGAGCGACTAGATTTCTCTGCATTAGTATGGTAGGTTGGCTGAACGATTTAACGTCTGTATGCACCTATCGGCACACGCAAGCACGGCCGTTCGCTAGCGGATCCTAGACTTAATTCATCAACGATAACAACGCCAGGGATCCAAATCTGTAGGGAGCAAATGTCGTAGCTAGCCGACCACGAAACTACAGATTCCATGTATAAATAAGGGCCGGTGACAACTTCTGCACCGCTTCCATTGCTAAGGCAAAATTAGTTGCATCCTAGCTTTAATGTAGTCGCGAAGGAGTTCTGCTGCTATCCGCCTTCTGCTCGCAGCCTATTCCTGCGGGAGCCCAAGCAAAGATGCACAGAAACTGTCACCTGCCCAGCGTCACGGAGCACAGTATCTTTAACACGGTAAATATCTAATATATCCTCGGATGATTCTATATTTTGCCCTTTCAAGTCGTCTTCCGATGTAGCCTCGACAAATCCCTACTTCAAACCTATTCAAGATACCTATAGAAGTGCGGTTCTATTGCCCACTTTTCCCTATTGCGAGTTGAATATTTCTGCTTGAAACGGGCAAGTGTAACTGAGAGATAATTAGAACGTACGCCAATTATATGACGGACTTAGCAAAGCTATAGTGCTTCAACTTCGAGTGGAATCAATTGAACGAACATAAACACAAAGGAGCCTTAGGAAGTGATCAACTAATAAAAGCTTTGATAAACCTACCACAAAATGGTATCCCTTGTGGAACCCATGTCGCGTTAGCGGTACACCTTCTCCTCGAGGGTCCGAGTAGTTCATATCCAGGATCGCAGTGATACGATGCGATCGTGCCCACTGCCAGGGTGTCATCCGAGAAGGTAACGTCGCCATGTGCTGGCGAACCAGGATATCCGCAATGTACAGTTACTGCAAAAAGAGGAACAATGGAAAAACAGCGAGAGTTCAATAACCTAGATTTATCCTCAAATCTTGTTGAAATAAACGTAGACGACTAGTAGCAATTAGCATACGATAGACTGCTTCTAAAGACGTACATACATATATAATTTTCAATAGTAGACAATATATAATATGACTCAAATGTTCATTAGCAGTATAAAAAATGCTTATAGCAATGCTTCAGAGCAACAACAGCGTGAGGTGTGAAACACTTTATTAATGGCTATAAGTCATAACATGACATGAAACGTCCAGCGCACGATAATCTGATTAGTTTTTGTTATGTAATATGTACATGCGTTCACTTGGCTTTACATTACCACTACCCTTAAACAGTGAATTAAACGTCTACTTCTCTTTTTTTATGTGCACTCCTATCTCTCGTTATTACTTTTGCTGGGGGGAAACCAAGAAAATTGCCAAACTACTCTATGCCAGCGCAACCGTAGGCTAAAGTAGGCATTCCTGATGACCACTGCACAAATCAAAAGAGCGAAGCCACTATATAGAGTAATATATTAGGAAGAGGTGTTAAAAGGTCACCGCTCTATTATAAATGGTTCGAGGTAGTACCGTGCGAAGCAACAGGCTAACGGGGCCTAGGATTGACTAATATGCCCGGTAGCGGGGAAACGAACCTAGAGTCGGAAAGCATCTCTACTCTCACTGCTATTCTCTCACTGTATGAACGTCGTGTAGATACTGTAGCGTGCCCATCGCTCGGCTTATCGTCACGTCATGCGGAACTTCAATCTCCGCCTTTAACATGAATGATTTCGAACAACTAACTACTTGCATAGTAAATTTTAATGCCAAACTTGCACTGCGTTTACTGCGTTTCCGCAATAGGTTTAGATATAGATGGAGGTGCTTTCGTATGTTCTTAGTAAATAGAAATGGGCTTTTAAGAGATTTTGTCAATCGCTGTCGTCTTCTGTACCTTATACAATAAAAGGTAAGGAGTGAAGGTAGAGTACAAAGTAAAGTGGAACTGGAAACACGGAGAAAGGCCAGTAAAACCTAGCTTTGAAAGTATTAGAAGATGCGAACAAAAAAGAAGACGATGTGCACAGTAAGTGACTGAGAAAAAAGCGACTGAAAAACATGGCTTTATTTAGTCCTTGGACTCGCAAATGCCACAAGCGACAGAGTTTCGAGGTTCGTTGGATTTCCGCATGTGGCATACACCCGTCTACTTTTACGTCTTTATGTATATATAAGATGCATGAATATTTTCTACAGATTCCCATAATATTCCTAGTTTACGTATTGCTAACAACGGCTGTTCTGTACGCTCATTCTATCCAGACAAGCGTTTAAAAAACTTGCCATAAATATACCTCAGGTCCTCATTTTGACAGACTGCACGCCAGCTGCGGTCCGACGAGCTAGGCAGTACATGAAAAGCTACAACCAAAAAGGCAAACAACACCAACAACTGAAATGTTTTTGGGATGAACTTTGTCTGTTTGGCCCTGTGTATCCCTGCCCGTCCAAGGATACGTCGTATTGTCACTTAGAGAACAAAGATGATATCGTGTGCATGTTCGTCGACCCGCCTGTGAAAACCTCTGACACATATCATAATGTTATCATTACGACAAGGAAGGCTATTCACGGGATGGAAACTGCTGAGAGTGGTCATCACGAATGTCATGAGATCTTTTTTCCTATGTGACGCTGCCTATCGTGACCTACACGACGCATATACAACGATCGTTGCCAAATTATTTTCAAATCCACCACCCCCTGCCACCGCCTTCAAGCTAGTCTTGGAAATCTTCATACTAGCAATCCAGCTAGTCATGTCACATTCATAGGGGGTGGCGTGACGCGCCTCGACATCCACGGATAGGGGCAACAATTTTTTTTTAAACATCGACGATGATCATGGCATAGGCCGGCTTAGAAAAGATAACACTCATGATTTCGCACGTAACGCGGCAGTCAAAAGATCACAGCTACCGGATTTCATACAAGGTAAGCTTGCAATCTGCCGACGACGATAGCCATTGTGGCACTTAGCATGGGTTGACGCAAATAGAAAGGTAAAAGTAAGGTTGAAGCATGTAGGGAGAAAGGGCGGAGGAAGCAGGTTAGTCAGTGCACTGGTCAAACCTGGATCATCTGTATCGAAAATTGTAATTGTTTGACGAGGAACTACACAAACCCAATTCACGTCTATTCCCTGCTCTTGAAGCTCCTTCTGTTGTCAGGTCCACACCTACACTCGCCGCGTACCCGTGTCAACGAGCAACTGATACCTTCCAAGCAGAGCATGCAAATGTTCATATAGGCAACAGTATGTAAGAGTTATGCTTCTTAGGCATTCAGGGTTTTAGCATGCGCCCATTTGCGGTTCCTGAATAGGAGATGTGGAAAACGAGCGTTCCTGTCGAGGGGTCACCCCTGTCACCGAGGTGGAACAGAAAAAGCAATTGCCAGTGCTACTATATTATAATCCGACTCTCAATCGTGCTGACCATATGTTCATTTCAAGTCTTTAAAAATAACCGTTTCAGCCTCTGGACGATTTTTTTGTTGAACAGGCGGGAAGTGGCTCTCGTGGTTTGTCTATGCTCCATTATTACACAGACGCCTAAACCGTTTTTTATAATCGCCTCATCGCCTAACGCAAGGAATCGGCACCAACTTTATTCGCGATGAGTGACAAAATGCATAATATGGGCCTTTTTTCGATATTAGTCCCACAGTATAACTGTTCATGCTAATTTTCCGCAGGATTCGGCCATGCTACAAATACGTGACTTTTAATACCGTAAGTGTATTAACCGCAAGTGAAATTTCTATAAACTTCGAAGGTATAGCCACATCTATAATAGGTTTATTTTGACAAGGCAATTTCAGATACATACACTAACGTCGTGATCATTTTCGTAAAAAGCTCTACCTTTGCTATATCAGCCGGCCCGACGGTAAGTCTATATCACTTGAAGTAATACTAGACATTTAGTATGATAGATTACTTATTATTTTGCACTTACATCGACATTTATCTAGAATTTTTCAATTCAAATTAGGAGAGGAATATAATGAATGCAGTTTTGAATGAAATAAAAATTGATCTGAAATAAAAAAAGATAGCTGAACCAATATCCGCCTTCATATATCTGTTTTTAGACAATATCAAACCATACAAACGTTTTTTGTTCCAAAAATTAGCGAAATTCACATATATTGGATGTATTCCTATCTTGAGTGTGCTATAGGAGTCAAGGTGTATATTTAGCGCTTTGCTTGTTTGCTGTCTTCTGATCCGCTATAGCGTATAAACCGGCAAAGCCGACGAGGGTTTCAATCTAACGTACTGCTATGAAAAAAAGTTCTTCATAATTCTGCCTCCCGCAGTGCGCCGCCTTGTGTGTTCCCATATACCAAAGCGACTGATCGACATTCCAATATCCGGTTGGCATGCACAGTTGAAGACATCGCGACTACAGCCAGTATTACCATGATCAGCGTCATCATTCGAGCAATAGCTGCGTCATCAACAACGTCATAATCATCAACAATAACTAGACATCCACCTGGACTAGTCCAAATGCTGAGCTGCAACGGATTCGTAAGTGTCTGCCGGTAAAATGAAGCCCTCAGGACTGCCCTTGTAGTTGCCGCTGCTACTGACACTTTTGCTAAATCTGGTCGTCTCGACCCCTGCCGCCGCTATCAGCGTCGGCGGTGCGTGCGGCGCGTGATCGTCGTCGTTGTCGTGATCTGCAATGGAACCTACGAGACGAGCCCATAACGCCGCTCTTCCACAGACAGATCCGTCAGTCAGTCAACGAGTGAACTATACGACGGGAACAACGCGAAGAACTCGTCCAGTCTTTGTGAGCAGAAAAAAGAAGAAGAGTGAATAGCCAGTCGCGCAGCCGTTTAGAACAGCTCTTCACCGTCGCAAAAACACATCCATTAAACAGACCGAGAGCGACGGGCATGCCGCAGCAGCTAGGGGAGCTCGGAGGAACAAGAAAACGGGGAAAGAATACTTCGCAAAAAAAAACGTGTTTCTCTGACCATTAAAAAATAGAGAGACTGCAGCTGTATTCTGTCACGCGGCTGTTGCCACAGATACGTCGGCGCCGACTGCTATCTCATGCTGTGCCTTGTCTTCGCTATTATATTTGAAATAAGTAACAAATATAACAACTGGTGAGCCATGTAAGCGACTCGTAAAAGGGGGGCCAGCACCATAATTACTACAAAGATTCATTTATGTCGAAAGTTTACTAGAGTAATGCTCGATCATCTGAAACATCCCGATGACTCGACGTCCATCTGTCCTATGCGTCTACGCCGCCAGGTAACGGAGAGACTGTTCCTGACGGTGAAGGACGGACGGTCCTCCTTGGCGCCAATGACGATAAAGCGAACTATACCAGTGACAATGACGATGAGGGAGTTTCAAAGGGAAAGTCAGTTTCGGCATCTCTAGCGTTTTTCCTTGCTCAAAATTCGTTATATATTAACCATATACATACCATTTCATTTTTTCTATATACATGTACGTATATATATATATATATATATATATATATATATATAGAGTCCGTCTATATGGTGCGAAGTAACGGAGATCGTAAAGCCATCATTCTTTGACAATGCCACTTATTTTTAAAGCGGTTCTCGTGAATGTACTGCTGATGCACAAACGTTCCTTTAATAGACTTTCTTTCCGGTTTGCTTTCAGGGGGCCGCACAACACAGTTTTGGCTTAATAAATCAAATTCCATAGGCTAGTTAAGCAGATTAGTGAACGAAAAAAGAAGACGCGAAGTAGACAAAAATATACGAAGCCCTACGACGCGACAGTGGTTAGTAGCTCCGCGACATGTTCTTCCACTTGATACGATCGTTTCAAAGCCATATTCATTCGGTGGCATATAATCGCATTGCATGGCGTGGAGGCCAGAACGCAAGTATGGCGTGTGTTCGTGTTTCTATTT